TAGTATGAAATGCATGTTAAACAATGAAAATATTTCTGGTACTTACAGTCAACGATGAGTTTGGTTCCTCCACCAAAAGTGTACCACAGTGATACAAACTCATTAAGCGGCTGTACAAAAACCTCCTGCACTCTTAACAAACACCTATCCACTGGAAAATCCACACTTTTAAAAGAAAATGGACATTTTTACATGTTGTTGAACAATAATAATCATTCAACTATGCTAGCTTGAAAATCTTTTTATGATTTAGGTTATTTTAATCTAGTTGTAACACTTAAGCAGCGAGAACATTTTTTTTCTGTGCTAACTTCACATTTTCGACGCATTTTAAACTAATAATCAATTAAAATTATTCCGTAATTCTGCAAAAAACTCTTTCTCCATGTTATCTATTTATTGGTCTAAGAATAACTTTTTGTAGCCTGAAATTTCAATGGTATGAATAAATTTGAAGAAATGGAAAGAAGATTTTATTGGTATTGATAAATACGAATAAAACAGACATGATCTTAATCCAAGTTTAGAAAATAGTTAATATATTTTAATCTAATTCAAATGCATCATCCTCCCTGCCATTAAATGAGACAAATGGTTAAAATTCCAAGAGTTTATCTTCTGATTTCAGTATTCTTCGGCGTGTTGAGAGCAGAGAAGTCATTTCCATAGAGAGGAGGCTTTGCATCCTCAGCTGATCCTCCAGAGAACTGAGAAGGTTTATAGTCCTGTGAGTTCAACACAGCAGGACTCAGATCTGTCGGTCAACACAGCACAAACCACAGCCACCATGACTCTCCTCACCATCCTCATCTGGACACTGTTCTGCTGCTGCTTCAAAGGTCAGAATTACTTGGAACATTCTAATTCATTCAGAGAACCTCTGATGCTTTCAAACCTTGGAATAATCTAAACGTAACTATTGTCTTCCAGGGTGCAGCGGTCAGGTGACTGTGACTCAGACTGCTGTAGTCACATCTTCTCCTGGCTCTACTGTCAGTCTGACCTGTACAACAAACCCAAAGGTCTACACATGGTCAGATGATGATAGTGAAGTAAACTGGTATCAGCAGAAATCTGGACAAGCTCCTAAGTTGGTGATCAAGCGTGGTCAAAATCCCACAGATGAGTTTTCTCCTCGGTTTTCTGGTAAAGGAGATGGAGTGAACGCAGAAATGACCATAAGGGGAGTTCAGGCTGAAGATGCAGCAGTTTACTACTGTCAGAGTTACCATTACATAAACAGTGCTGGGGTGTTCACACAGTGATTTTAGGTGGTACAAAAACCTCCTTCAGTCAGACTGCAGACACACTGAGCTGTTTCAGCAGGAACTGACTGCAGCTGCTGAACAGGAAGAGACTCTGACACACACCCCTGAACACAGAGCTCACAGTGACCACACCAAGCACCAAACACACAGCAGTTATGCAGATTTGACACTCTTACCTTCATCATATATGTTTGTGTCGTTGCCAACAGGATTAGTAAAACATTTTGGGCAAATATTACTTAACATTGGCCCAACTGAGAAATGAACATTTCTATACGTTAATTAATATCTGAACGATGATGCAGGATTTGTTTTACACACATATGGAGAAAATATTTCAGTTATTTTAACTGAATGAACTGCATAACATTTGATATTGAAAATTACCGTTTTTTTTACACAAATTCTTTTCCTTTAAATTGTTGGAAAGATATGGGTTTTTAAACTGGATGTTTTCCTTTAAAAAATCCTTTTTTCAGTATTATATTTAACATAAAGTATTTTCATAAAATTTAAACCAGCCAAATATTTTCATACGGACAGGAATATAAAAAACATCCCTCTAAAATGTTTTATTTTTGTGGTATCCACTTTATTTGTTGACTCTAAACTAGCAGATATAAATTCTTTGCATCATTAATCTAATTAAAAAAAAAACAATCAAATTAACAGTTTTAAACTATCCATGTTATTGTGCATCATGAGCAATAAAACACTTTCTCTTCGCAAATATTAAATGAAAAACAACCCAATCAATGAAAAGATTAGATTTGTCCTCTGATATGACTGAGTTGAGAGATTGTTTAATTTAGCATGTGACAAACATTTTCCCTCCACATACAATTCGTTTTTTTCTTTGAATGTGCGCTCGTGTTTTGAATGAATGCCGTGCATCACTGCTCCTAAACCTGTTTAAAGAGAAGCTCAGAGAAGCTTCTGTTCAGTCTCACCGTGAGGTAATCGTAATGATCATGTTTCTGACCCCACTGTTGATCACACTGCTGCTCCAACTTCAAGGTGAGAAGTCCTCTGTTTTACATTGAGTTAGTCTCTGCTAAAATGTCGTAAGATCTTTTATGATGCCAGAAAAATGCTCAAATGTTAGGTTAAAAAAACAAGTTTTTGCTTTTCATCATTTCCAGGATCAGATGGCAGTCCATCTGTGACCCAGTCTCCTGAATCAAAGTCTGCTGCTCTGGGGGACACAGTCTCTCTGAGCTGTACTGCCAGTTCGGGAGTTGATGATGATCTCAGCTGGTACCTGCAGAAACCTGGACAGCCTCCCAAACTGCTGTTTTATAAGATCAGCACCCGTGAATCTGCTCCGAGTCATTTCAGCAGCAGCGGATCTGAGCCTGAATTCACGTTAGAAATCCGTGGAGTGAAGGCTGATGATGCTGGGGTTTACTACTGTCTGGGAGTGCATGGCGGCCCAGTGCTCACACAGTGATTTTAGGTGGTACAAAAACCTCCTTCAGTCAGACTGCAGACACACTGAGCTGTTTCAGCAGGAACTGACTGCAGCTGCTGAGCAGGAAGAGACTCTGACACACACCCCTGAACACACAGCTCACAGTGACCACACCAAGCACCAAACACACAGCAGTTATGCCGATTTGACATTTTTACCTTCAAGTCTGTTTGTCTCTTTTCAGCAGATTTGGTAAAATATTAATTTGGATTTTGTCCTTGAAATTATCCAACTTAGAAATGAGCATCTCTTCATGTTTATCCATATCTGAATGTTGATGCAGGATTTTCTGGATCTGTTATCAGACACCTGGTTATTACTATTTTCCTGTAGAATTTTAACAAGGAGAACAGAATACATAATTTCTCAAGAAACCACAATGTTCCTCACGATGTGAAGCTCTTTCATCTGATGTCCCTCGAGCATTTTCCTCTCTGATAAAACAGGTGTGTGTTTGAGTTCTGAGAAGTATTTCTGATTTGATGCATCACTGCACAGATGTTTCTCTGTGACAGTCATTCTGAAATGTTCGTTACTCTCTTAGACTGAAAGCTGAATCCGAAGGATGGATTTAATAGCTCTTTTTGTCTTTATAGGTTTTTATTAAATAATGTTTAAATTGTGAACAGGGTTATTGATAGAAGTGTGTGTGAAAGTCATATGACAGGCAAACATTTATTTGATTGACTTTTTTTATTTATTTCACAACGACATTAAGCAGAACATGAGCACAATCACATACACAAAGCTCGTTAAACCAAATGGAAGTTTAAAAAAACAAGAGATCAGAGGAGACTCTTTCAGGCAGGAATTGCTGCTGAAGCTCTACTCGGAGCAGTGGTCAGGCTCCAGGCTTTGGATGACGGGGCTCTGTCCACTCAGAGTGGCCTCACAGCTCACTGAGCCCGCCCTCCGCCAGTGCTCTGCAGAGAGGCTCAGCGTGCTGCTGCGGCTGTAGAGGCCGTCCCCTCCCAGCACTTCCAGGCTGTCCGACACCCCTGAGGACATGCTGCTGCCCCCCACCTTCCAGCCCAGCGTCCAGGTGGACGGGAAGCCCCCATTGGACACACACACCAGTGAGACGCCACTCTGCTGCCCCTCCTCTTTGGAGGTGGGGAGGACGGTTAGAGTGGGCTTCTTTATTCCCACTGGAGGAGGGAAGGGAGAAAAGACACAAGGATGGGAAAGAAGGTTAGAAAGAGCTTCATGTTTCTCAATCAATGGTCATCTTCATATGTGTTTCATAATGTGTGACAGTGATCAATTTGTCCCTGTGAGGATTTTCAAGTGTTTAAAGCTGAAACACTGATGTGAACATCTGTCTCTTTCACTTCCTTTAAAGTA